TTATCCAACTCCTATCTATTCCTGTATCACACCCACTTATCCAACATCTGTATATTCTGTGTCACACCCACTTATCCAGCACCTGTATATTCTGTGTCACACCCATCACACCCATTGAGGCAACCTGCAAGTTGGGAGTTGGGAGGGGGATTTGGCACACCACCATAGATCCGCATGAAATGTTTCAGCTTATGGAAAACATGTGTAGCTAGGATGGGTTGAACATTGTACTGCATGTGTCTGGAGTTACCTCAATGTTAAATAACTTCAATATTTACAAGAAAACCAAACACATCCAGGTTGATGTGTCACCAGCCAGACTTAGGTGCACTCTCGCACGAGCACACCAGCAAGTAATACACACGTTTGTGTTAGGTTGCATTTAAGATTTATTTTGCAAGTAAAACACTGGATAAAAACTCCCCAAGCCAAGACGCCATAAGAACATGACAGTTTGACTTGATTCCTCCACCACACTGAGTGGAGTGCAGTGTACCTGGCATGTCAGTTGGATCCTGGGGAGTTCCGGGGAGTTCATGAGAGATCCAGGCCAGGGAGCTCCAAACCCTGGGGGAGTGTCCAGGGAGTTCTGGTGCACATTAGGTCCCCACCTGACGTTTGTCACAGACCATTGTGATATACCTAGAATATGCCTTTAGTGTGGCCTAACTCAACAACTGTTTGTCTTTAGTGCAGCCTAACTCAGCAATTGTCTGTGTTTAGTGCAGCTTTACTCAACAACTGTCTGTCTTTTGTGCAGCCTAACTCAACAACTATCTGTTTTTAGTGCAGCCTAACTCAACAACTGTCTGTGTTTAGTGCAGCCTAACTCAACAACTGTCTATAGTGCGGCCTAAAAAACGTTGCAACCTGTTTAAAGGGAGAGGTGATTTATGTTAACAGAAATAAACACAGATTTAGTGAGAAACTTGGCTATGATCATCTGATAAGAGGAAAAGACATGAGACTTGACTATTTATTTGATTGTAATTGCTTTGGCAGAAGCCAATGTAGAGCTGGAGAATCCCATGTTATAATGATACGCATCAGGCCCACTCACAGGATGTAGAGGAGAGGGTCGTAAACCAGGCAGGTGCCCCTTGTGCAGCCAATCAAAGCCCTCCCAGATTCCACAGAACCCAGCAGGTACTGTGGCGGCTGTTGAACCTGTCTGCAGGGCTCAGCATGTAGAACTTTGTGCCAACAGGAGGGAGAACCCCTTGGCTAAAACAGTTCAGTTGGCCAATCTGTCACAGCTGAACCAGTTCAGTACATGTGTCCAATCTGTCACAGTTGAAACAGTTCAGAACAATTGCTGAAAATATCACAGCCAAAACAGTTCAGCACAGTTGCCCAATCTGTCACAGTCGAAACTGTTCAGCACTGTGGGGAAGTGTGTTTATGACCTACAGTTTCAAACTTAAGTGTTGTGTGTTAAGTGAGTTGCTTTTTCACTGCCTGCCTGTACACTGCCTGTAAATTTCATATGGGAAGACAAAGGCATCGGGACAGATTGTCCCTTGCTGTTTTGTGTCTGCTCTTTTTCCTGTGTCTGAAGCTTCGACCCGGCAGTCACGTGACAATGATTTGATGTATCTGATGTGTCCAATGGGACTGAGAAGATGATGTGAGGGTGATGGTGATGGGAGGTTGATAGTGATGGTTGATAGTGTCTGTATATAATTGAGTCTTGACCAGACAATCCAGTGATTGATTGTATGAACATTATGATCACTGATCCACACAATTGGGATACGATGACATGCAGCAACCAAGGAACCGACCTGACCACCCGATCACGTTAGTTGCCTTTTATGCCAAACATGAGTTGCTGAAGACCAATTCTAACCCGGATCTTCATGATCACTTGAGATGTTAGATACATTTTACCCAAGCCATTACCCAAGGCTTTTTGAGAGGATTGTTTTGACATAGTTAGATCAGGAAGGATGCAATAGTTAGATCAGGAGGGATGCATGTGATCCTGGGTCTGATGGGTGGTGCCCCTGTGTATTCCTGTTATCGGTGTCCATTGACAACCTGTGTATTCAGGACATCGTTGTCCATTGACAACCTGTGTATCCAGGACATCGTTGTCCATTGACAACCTGTGTATTCCTGACATCGTTGTCCATTGACAACCTGTGTATTCCTGATGTTGGTGTCCATTGACAACCTGTGTATTCAGGACATCGTTGTCCATTGACAACCTGTGTATCCCTGTTATCGGTGTCCATTGACAACCTGTGTATTCCTGACATCGTTGTCCATTGACAACCTGTGTATTCCTGACGTTGGTGTCCATTGACAACCTGTGTATTCAGGACATCGTTGTCCATTGACAACCTGTGTATCCCTGTTATCGGTGTCCATTGACAACCTGTGTATTCAGGACATCGCTGTCATTCACTCACAAGTCCATTGACAACCTGTGTATCCCTGACATCGGTGTTCATTGACAACCTGCGTATCCCTGACATCGGTGTTCATTGACAACCTGTGTATCCCTGTTATCGGTGTCCATTGACAACCTGTGTATTCCTGACATCGGTGTCCATTGACAACCTGTGTATCCCTGTTATTGGTGTCCATTGACAACCTGTGTATTCCTGACATCGGTGTCCATTGACAACCTGTGTATCCCTGACATTGGTGTCCATTGACAACCTGTGTATCCCTGACATTGTTGTCCATTGACAACCTGTGTATCCCTGTTATCGGTGTCCATTGACAACCTGTGTATCCCTGACATCGGTGTTCATTGACAACCTGCGTATCCCTGACATCGGTGTTCATTGACAACCTGTGTATCCCTGTTATCGGTGTCCATTGACAACCTGTGTATTCAGGACATCGGTGTCCATTGACAACCTGTGTATTCAGGACATCGGTGTCCATTGACAACCTGTGTATTCCTGACATCGGTGTCCATTGACAACCTGTGTATTCCTGACATCGGTGTCCATTGACAACCTGTGTATCCCTGACATCGGTGTCCATTGACAACCTGTGTATTCAGGACATCGGTGTCCATTGACAACCTGTGTATTCAGGACATCGGTGTCCATTGACAACCTGTGTATTCCTGACATCGGTGTCCATTGACAACCTGTGTATTCCTGACATCGGTGTCCATTGACAACCTGTGTATTCCTGACATCGGTGTCCATTGACAACCTGTGTATCCCTGACATTGGTGTCCATTGACAACCTGTGTATTCCTGACATCGGTGTCCATTGACAACCTGTGTATTCCTGACATCGGTGTCCATTGACAACCTGTGTATTCCTGACATCGGTGTCCATTGACAACCTGTGTATTCCTGACATCGGTGTCCATTGACAACCTGTGTATCCCTGACATCGTTGTCCATTGACAACCTGTCCATTGACAACATGTGCATTCAGGACATCATTGAGAGCTATATACTGAATTTAGTGAACTTGCAAGGGCATTGACAACATGTGTATTCATGGTATTATAACTATGTAGTGTACACGCAAGTCAGATACTGCCCTGTGTATTGAGGACATAATTGCCCAGTGTATTGAGGACATTACTGCCCAGTGTATTAAGGACATAACTGCCCTGTGTATTGAGGACATTACTGCCCAGTGTATTAAGGACATTACTGCCCAGTGTATTAAGGACATTACTGCCCTGTGTATTGAGGACATTACTGCCCAGTGTATTAAGGACATTACTGCCCAGTGTATTGAGGACATAACTGCCCCATGTATTAAGGACATTACTGCCCTGTGTATGGAGGACATTACAGCCCTGTGTATTGAGGACATTGCTGCCCCATGTATTAAGGACATTACTGCCCTGTGTATTAAGAACATAACTGCCCTGTGTATTGAGGACATTACTGCCCCATGTATTAAGGACATTACTGCCCAGTGTATTGAGGACATTACTGCCTAGTGTATTGAGGACATTACTGCCCTGTGTATTGAGGACATTCCTGCCCTGTGTATTGAGGACATAACTGCCCAGTGTAATGAGGACATTACTGCCCAGTGTATTGAGGACATTACTGCCCCATGTATTCAGGACATTACTGCCCTGTGTATTAAGGACATTACTGCCCTGTGTATTGAGGACATTACTGCCTAGTGTATTGAGGACATTACTGACATTGGTATCGTGTTCTCTCAAGGGCTGTCCATGTTTGAACACTGGTGGTAGTCAGGGTTGTCGATAGATCAATGTCACATTGTTAGACCACAAAGATTGATTAAATGATCAGTACTTCTTAAGATAAATCTGTTGTCCATATTCCGGTTGTATGAGGAAACTACATGACGTGAATGTCTTCCTTGTCCACCACGCCAGGTCATGTTGTTCCAGCTCACTGACTTCCATGGCATTGATGGTCAGTCAGGGTTGGTTAAGTCCCTCACTGTTATTATTCTTAACTGGTTATATGTGTGCTTTGAGGTTTGGGAAATAGTATACCAAATATTGCAGTAATTTTTGTTTTTTATTTGATGTTGTGTGTATAAAATTATAAAGTCCGACATCTTCTTTATATCAGTGTATATCATTATCTTCCTGTGTGAAACAAGTAGGGTTTTCAAGAAGTGTTCCAATAAGCCCTCAGGCCCCTGACAGGTAGATATTATGTCAGACATGTTGTTTTGGATTTGTATGGGTCCTTATTTGTCAAAATAATCTGCAATGTCTAAAATGTTTTTGGGGTTCGTTTTTCATACTCACTTGAGTGTATGTGTCTGTCACCAACAGTGAGTGACCAGTAATCTCATTCCACACGGTGATGTTGGGCAATCACTGACACTGTGTACAGTATGTATAATGCAGCAAGTAATACCCTTATTCAGGAAATTTAGTTTAGGTTTAAAGGGCCTGAAAGATTCACCACGGCCTCAGCTTCTTAAGTCAGGGTCCCTGATGGCAGACTGGCAATTGTTTTTTATTTCAAAAACTGTACAAGGCCACGTTTCACCTCTCTGACAACTTTCAATTTGTGTTTCAGGGTGCGGGTGATGTTACTGTAGTGATAGAAGACTTCTCTGCTTCAACAAGCAATGAGGTCACATTGGCCAAAGGTCAGAGTGTGGAGGTCATTGATGCTGCACCAGGTCACTCCGACTGGTGTCTGGTCCGGACAGTGCCAAATGATTCAGGGGAGACAACCCAAGGACTGGTGCCAATGTCAGCTCTCAAACCTATTGCCATTTTGAGGGCTCCAGGTTCACGAAACAGCCTTGACCTTGATGGTAAGTGACAACTGTATGTGAAAATGTAGGTAGTTAGTTCCAGTGATCAGTATTACTAGACATGTGAGAATGTATAAACATAGTCAGTTCCAATGACCGATATTGCTAAACATGTGAAACTTAAAGTTAACTTATCCAAAACTAAAATAATTGTATTTGGGGGATCTTCAAAAGAATATAAGCTTCAATTTAAATTGGACCATCAAATCGTTGAGGTAGTGGACTCCTACTCCTATCTTGGAGTAGTACTAATGAGGACTGGATCTTTTAAGGCCGCTGTCAATACACTGAGAGGAAAGTCCATGCGAGCATGGTATAAGATCAAAAGTTCACTGAAATAAACTTCTCATCTCCCAGCAGACATTCTCATTTGCTTGTATAATGTCTTAATTGTACCCATTGCGTCATATGGAGCCGAGGTATGGGGCTACAGTCTTCTAAGACCCTCGCATGAAATGTGTAACTGGTCTAAACAACTATGTAATGAGATCACTAACAAAATAGCAAAGCAGATTCTAGGAGTACCAAAAAAGTCGAGTAATATTGGATGCCTCAGTGAATTAGGAATGTACCCTCTTTCTTTACAAATATATATGTCCTTGTATAGATATTACCAGCGTGTGAGAGACCTGCGATGTGACAGGCTCTTATTCGCTGCATACCAGGAGGATATTCTTTTGGCCTCCCCCAAAGTGTCCTGGACATCCTCTATGAAATATCTGATGGCACACCTATTTCCCAAATCCAACAGTGAAAATGCCCCTCGCTCAAAATTCTATGAAGCTCTTCAAACAAAATTTAGAAATCTATTTCTCATTGACAGTGACCAAGTAAACACTGATAGCTCCCACAAACCTAGGCATCTAGGACTTATTAAAGATAAATTTGAACTTAAGAAATATATTTCAGCTGTAAAATGTAAAGATCGTAGATTAGCATTAACTAAATTAAGACTCAGTTGACATAATCTGGAGATTGAAAGAGGCAGATACACTAACACGCCTGTCGACCAGAGAATATGTAAATTATGTAAACTAAATAAGATAGAAGATGAAAAACACTTCCTTTTGTACTGTCCTTGATTCTTGATTCTTGTGAGAATGTTGGTAGTCAGTTCCAGTGGCTGATATTGCTAAACATGTGAGAATGTAGATAGTTAGTTCCAGTGACCAATATTGCTAAACATGTGAGAATGTATAAACATAGTTAGTTCCAGTGCCCGATATTGCTAAACATGTGAGAATGTTGGTAGTCAGTTCCAGTGACTGATATTGCTAAACATGTGAGAAGGTATTAACCGAGTTAGTTCCAATGACTGTTATTGCTAAACATGTGAGAATGTAGATAGTTAGTTCCAGTGACCTATATTACTAAACATGTGAGAATGTAGATAGTTAGTTCCAATGACTGTTATTGCTAAACATGTGAGAATGTAGATAGTTAGTTCCAGTGACCTATATTACTAAACATGTGAGAATGTAGATAGTTAGTTCCAGTGACTGTTATTGCTAAACATGTGAGAATGTAGATAGTTAGTTCCAGTGACCAATATTGCTAAACATGTGAGAATGTATAAACAGAGTTAGTTCCAGTGACCTATATTGCTAAACATGTGAGAATGTAGATAGTTAGTTCCAGTGACCTATATTGCTAAACATGTGAGAATGTAGATAGTTAGTTCCAGTGACCAATATTGCTAAACATGTGAGAATGTATAAACAGAGTTAGTTCCAGTGACCTATATTGCTAAACATGTGAGAATGTAGATAGTTAGTTCCAGTGACCTATATTGCTAAACATGTGAGAATGTAGACAGTTAGTTCCAGTGACCTATAGTGAGGTTCTAATAAACAGTTATTGTAGCAAGTTTGGGGCACAGTTTTAGACAATATAAGTTGCAGCAGTCTCCGGCACATACTTCTGCAACAAATTTATTTTGCCGACATGTTTCAACCTGCCATTGTAATAGAATGAAAACAACTTGAAAATTGATAGAAAACAGCTGTTAGATTGAGTTGAGGTTAACTTGATATGAAGGTATGTGATATAAAGGTGTGTGATATGAAGGTGTGTGATATGAAGGTGTGTGATATGAAGGTGTGTGATATGAAGGTGTGTGATATGGGTGTATGTGAAACAATGAAAACATTCAACAAGTTAAAGATATCAATACAACTGTTTCTGTTCGAAACTTCATTGTTTATCTTTGACATGACAGTTGTGTTGATTGTCATGTGGTAGTTTACTGACAGAACTGATGTGAAGATCTCTGTTGAGTTGAAGGAGCATTTTCGGACCATGTACAACTGTTTACTCTTTTGATATATAGTTACATTGCAGGTAGCAGTTTCCTTGCCAACAAACATTTGTCTCAGAGTTAACCTAATGGCCACAAACATTTTTATTATTAATCTCCCATGTTGACACCGCTTCATCATCAGCAAGTCCAGGGGTGGTGAACTGTAGAATCTCCTAGTTCAGTACCAGATAGTTATAGACTAGCCACTGTCATCAGTCTGTATTAACTGATGCAATTATCTAATGTTGACATTTGCTGGCTTGTGTATGTCTGTTTGTGAGATTAGTAAATATGAATGTGTTGTATCTGGATCGGTTCCAGTCTGTCTGTGACCAATCAACATTGTCAGGGTACATACGTTTCAAGTTCAATATCCTGTGGTGTGCAAGAGTTGTCTCCCCTAGACTACACAGCTTGGCTGCATTCTGTGTGATGTGTGGTGTGTAGACTTGTTGTATAGAACTATCTGGTAGAATTGAAGGTTCTTTAAATGACTGTTAAAACAATTCCACTGATAAAATATTGAATGTTGAGCAGCAAGTTGATACTCATAGAATACCTGAATAACATTACCCACTGATAAGTTATTTAAGATTACCTCTATTGTCTGTTTATAGTAAGTTCATTGTTTTTCAGAAGGAGAAGGCTCATCTGGACTGAACGCCTCGGCTTCTTCCCCGGTGACAAAGAGAAGAAGCAGCTTCAGGTAGACCAGTCTTTCTCCTCCTGCTTGGAAAATAGTAGGATTTATCACATAAGAGTGTATCCACTGGAAAATACCACATAGTGTAAATCACAGAAAGTGTACAGCATGCCTTGGATATATGAGGATGTATCACATAGTGTGTACAACGTGCATTGGGTGTACAACATGCCTAGGATATATGAGGATGTATCACATACTGTGTTCTACATGTATTGGATATATGAGGATGTATCACATAGTGTGTACAACATGCATTGGATATATGAGGATGTATCACATAGTGTGTACAACGTGCATTGGATATATGAGGATGTATCACATAGTGTGTACTACATGCATTGGATATATGAGGATGTATCACATAGTGTGTACTACATGCATTGGATATATGAGGATGTATCACATAGTGTGTACAACATGCATTGGATATATGAGGATGTATCACATAGTGTGTACAACGTGCATTGGATATATGAGGATGTATCACATAGTGTGTACAACGTGCATTGGATATATGAGGATGTATCACATAGTGTGTACTACATGTATTGGGTGTACAAAATGCCTAGGATGTATGAGGATGTATCACATAGTGTGAACAACATGCATTGTGTGTACAACATGCATTGGGTTTACTACATGCATTGGGTGTACAACATGCATTGGGTGTACTACATGCATTGGGTGTACAACATGCATTGGGTGTACAACATGCCTAGGATATATGAGGATGTATCACATACTGTGTACAACATGCATTGGGTGTACAACATGCCTAGGATATATGAGGATGTATCACATACTGTGTACAACATGCATTGGGTGTACAACATGCCTAGGATATATGAGGATGTATCACATAGTGTGTACTACATGCATTGGGTGTACAACATGCCTAGGATATATGAGGGTGTATCACATAGTGTGTACTACATGCATTGGGTGTACTACATGCCTAGGATATATTAGGATGTATCACATAGTGTGTACTACATGCATTGGGTGTACTACATGCATTGGGTGTACAACATGCATTGGGTGTACTACATGCATTGGGTGTACAACATGCCTATGATATATGAGGATGTATCACATAGTGTGTACAACATGCACTGGGTGTACAACATGCCTTGGAAATATGAGGATGTATCACATACTGTGTACTACATGTATTGGGTGTACAAAATGCCTAGGATGTATGAGGATGTATCACATAGTGTGAACAACATGCATTGTGTGTACAACATGCATTGGGTTTACTACATGCATTGGGTGTACAACATGCATTGGGTGTACTACATGCATTGGGTGTACAACATGCATTGGGTGTACAACATGCCTAGGATATATGAGGATGTATCACATACTGTGTACAACATGCATTGGGTGTACAACATGCCTAGGATATATGAGGATGTATCACATACTGTGTACAACATGCATTGGGTGTACAACATGCCTAGGATATATGAGGATGTATCACATAGTGTGTACTACATGCATTGGGTGTACAACATGCCTAGGATATATGAGGGTGTATCACATAGTGTGTACTACATGCATTGGGTGTACTACATGCATTGGGTGTACAACATGCATTGGGTGTACTACATGCATTGGGTGTACAACATGCCTATGATATATGAGGATGTATCACATAGTGTGTACTACATGCATTGGGTGTACAACATGCCTATGATATATGAGGATGTATCACATACTATGTACTACATGCATTGGGTGTACAACATGCCTAGGATATATGAGGATGTATCACATACTGTGTACTACATGTATTGGGTGTACAACATGCCTAGGATATATGAGGATGTATCACATACTGTGTACTACATGTATTGGGTGTACAACATGCCTAGGATGTATGAGGATGTATCACATACTGTGTACAACATGCATTGGGTGTACAACATGCCTAGGATATATGAGGATGTATCACATAGTGTGTACAACATGCATTGGGTGTACAACATGCCTAGGATATATGAGGATGTACCACATACTGTGTACAACATGCATTGGGTGTACAACATGCCTAGGATATATGAGGATGTACCACATACTGTGTACAACATGCATTGGGTGTACAACATGCCTAGGATATATGAGGATGTATCACATAGTGTGTACTACATGCATTGGGTGTACTACATGCATTGGGTGTACAACATGCATTGGGTGTACTACATGCATTGGGTGTACAACATGCCTATGATATATGAGGATGTATCACATAGTGTGTACTACATGCATTGGGTGTACAACATGCCTAGGATATATGAGGATGTACCACATACTGTGTACAACATGCATTGGGTGTACAACATGCCTAGGATATATGAGGATGTATCACATAGTGTGTACTACATGCATTGGGTGTACTACATGCATTGGGTGTACAACATGCATTGGGTGTACTACATGCATTGGGTGTACAACATGCCTAGGATATATGAGGATGTATCACATAGTGTGTACTACATGCATTGGGTGTACAACATGCCTAGGATATATGAGGATGTATCACATACTGTGTACTACATGCATTGGGTGTACAACATGCCTGGGCTATATGAGTCTCAAATACTTATTGTCATGACAGACAATACAGTTGTAAATGGTGTGACTGATTTAGAGTTACTTGACACCAGGAATAGATTCTGTAAATATCTGCCAAACTTCTCAGTGTACCTGGTAAAGCCATGATATTGCTGGGTATGTTTTTAAGCCCCGTTCACTTGGAGTTGTATGTTTTCAGGAAATGGTTGACAAACCCTGTGCGTAAGCTGAGCCATGGCAAGATTGAGAAACAGGGTCAGGCTCTCCTTGAAGCCCAGCGACTGGCGGCAGCCAAAGGGGAGCGGAAGGTGCTCAACCCACTTGGGGCAGCAAAGGCAGGCCTTCTTTCTTACTTCTTACACACAGTCAAACATACACTTAGTCGCCAAACACACACAGTCAAACATACACTTAGTCGCCAAACACACAGAGTCAAACATACACTTTGTCGCCAAACACACATAGTCAAACATACACTTCGTCGCCAAACACACAGAGTCAAACATACACTTAGTCATCAAACACACAGAGTCAAACATACACTTAGTCGCCAAACACACAGTCAAACATACACTTAGTCATCAAACACACAGAGTCAAACATACACTTAGTCGCCAAACACACAGTCAAACATACACTTTGTCGCCAAACACACATAGTCAAACATACACTTAGTCGCCAAACACACAGAGTCAAACATACACTTAGTCATCAAACACACAGTCAAACATACACTTAGTCGCCAAACACACAGAGTCAAACATACACTTAGTCATCAAACATACAGAGTCAAACATACACTTAGTCGCCAAACACACAGAGTCAAACATACACTTAGTCATCAAACACAGAGTCAAACATACACTTAGTCGCCAAACACACAGAGTCAAACATACACTTAGTCGCCAAACACACAGAGTCAAACATACACTTAGTCGCCAAACACACAGTAGAACATACATGTTCATGTCCCATCACTCACAGTCAAACATGTTCCATATTTGGTCTCACATTTTACCTTCAGTGATCTGACCTTTATAACATCCACCTAGCAATGTGACCCAAGTCACTAGTCTTGGTGGTCAACATGAAGGTGTACATTTCAATCAATGATGTTTTACAAACATCCTTCACTGCTGCCCGTTTCCTGTCCAAACACTGGGTGCTTGGGTAGCCTAGTGGTTAAAGCATTCGCTCGTCACACCAAAGAACGGGGTTGGATTCCCCGCATGGGTGCAATGAGTGAAGCCCATTTTCCAGTCTCCCCCGCCATGATATTGCTGGAATAGGTCTAAACCCATTGTAAAACCATGGTCACTCACTGTCAAAAAGAAGACAGTGATCCAACCTCAGAACCTTTTAGGATTATCCTTGATTACCCGAAATTGCCCAGCCAGATAGATATGGCTGTCAATTAAGATCAGATGCACAAACTCAGTATGTTGAAACCAATATTGGTATGTTTGCCTGTGTAGTATTGTTACATGTGTTGGTGATGTTGGTTTGCTCTTCGTGCTCAGACTTCTCTCATGTTTTATGTCCATGTTTTCTTTCAGGAAAATCTTTTGTTTGTTTTGTACATTTAAATGTGTTATTTACATGTATCATATACACTTATAGCAGAATAAGTGTCTTGATTTCGAGATGTGATTCAGCTACATGGTTGCCAGCTGGCTCTAGATGCAGAACCACAGACCTCATCCTGAAGGTAAGATTTTACGTTCCCCTCATTTACTGGTGCATACGGCTACAATGCTGACATGACAGAGTCTGCTTCAACGCTGGACCTGGACCTAGTCAGACACAAACATGGATCACATTTGTGCATAACACAAAACACAAAGGAATCACAGAATTTGTTTTCAGCTGTTAAATGGGTGTATATCCCAGCCAACTTGAGTTGATGTGAGGCCAACATACCCGCTATTCACAGATTTGTGTCATGATGATGCAGATTCTATGAAGCATCTTAGAGCCATAATATGTATTACTTACATCAATATTTCATTGTTGTTAAATAGGAAATCTCCTTGGCCTCTCATTATGATAGTGCCAAAACAATAGCAGTTGGATGGTGGCTTATTTCCTGTCATGAAGGGAGAACTATTAATCACTGTGTCATCTGCTGGCCAGATAGAGGTGTTCAGCCAGTTCATGATATACCCCTTTTGTCAGATTCACGATTGCTTTAGCCTTTCTCACTGATTTGACACAGTGAACTCACTGTTGTCTGATAAGCTTTGATACCTTCTCTCATGTTCAATTCGTTCCTTGCATCTGATTTGTTTGTGTCGGATTGTGTTGGATTCTGTTGGAACATGTCTTCTGACATCAGTGTCAGGTTTGTTACCCTTCCATGCCTGATTGTACAGCATCTTGTACATGATTTGGCTTCCTATTGTGTCAGGTTTGTTACCCTTTCATGCCTGATTGTACAGCATCTTGTACATGATTTGGCTTCCTATTGTGTCAGGTTTGATCCCAGAAGTTCCCACCTTTGGTTTGATCCATGGTGTCTGATTTCATCTCAATGTGCTTGAATACACACACATACACACTCACGCACGCACACACACACACACACACACACACACAGACACACCAGCGAGCACACACTCTCACGCACACACTCACACACACACAAACCACACACACACACCAGCACACACACAAACACTAGCACACACACAAGCTAAAGAGCATGATGTTATTGCCTAATAATGTGTTGCAAGTCCTCACAGGGGAATGGCCTGGGCTTGTTTACAGCATTGTCCATTTCTGGTGGAGTTATTGATCAGAAATTGTCCGTTGCTGGAGTCATTCAGTCAAGGCTCACAGATGAACAAGGGAATTCATTCATGTGATTAGACAGGCGGATTACAGCTTGTAGCTGGTTGGTCGGCAGGCCTCAGTGATAGGGCAGAACATGTTGGTGAAGAGATGTCACAGCCCAATCACAATAACAGCAATACAAGTTGATGTAGATATGTCACAGTACCACACAATGACAGCAGTACATGTTGGTGAAGATATGTCACAGTACCACACAATGACAGCAGTACATGTTGGTGAAGATATGTCACAGTACCACACAATGATAGCAGTACATGTTGGTGAAGATATGTCACAGTACCACACAATGACAGCAGTACATGTTGGTGAAGATATGTCACAGTACCACACAATGACAGCAGTACATGTTGGTGAAGATATGTCACAGTACCACACAATGACAGCAGTACATGTTGGTGTAGATATGTCACAGTACCACACAATGACAGCAGTACATGTTGGTGTAGATATGTCACAGTACCACACAATGATAGCAGTACATGTTGGTGAAGATATGTCACAGTACCACACAATGATAGCAGTACATGTTGGTGAAGATATGTCACAGTACCACACAATGACAGCAGTACATGTTGGTGAAGATATGTCACAGTACCACACAATGATAGCAGTACATGTTGGTGAAGATATGTCACAGTACCACACAATGATAGCAGTACATGTTGGTGAAGATATGTCACAGTACCACACAATGACAGCAGTACATGTTGGTGAAGATATGTCACAGTACCACACAATGACAGCAGTACATGTTGGTGAAGATATGTCACAGTACCACACAATGATAGCAGTACATGTTGATGTAGATATGTCACAGTACCACACAATGATAGCAGTACATGTTGGTGAAGATATGTCACAGTCATCAGTGGTCAGGGTATGTGATGGTGTTGTGATGATCTATGGATGTGATGGTCTGGTGTTGTGATGGTCTGAAGATGTTGTGGTGGTCTGAGGATGTGATGGTTTGTGGTGGTCTGGGGATGTGATGGTGATCTGGTGGTCTGGGGATATGATGGTGATCTGGTGGTCTGGGGATGTGATGGTGGTCTGGGGATATGATGGTGATCTGGTGGTCTGGGGATGTGATGGTGATCTGGTGGTCTGGGGATGTGATGGCGATCTGGTGGTCTGGGGATGTAATGGTGGTCTGGGGATGTGATGGTGATCTGGTGGTCTGGGGATATGATGGTGATCTGGTGGTCTGGGGATGTGATGGCGATCTGGTGGTCTGGGGATGTGATGATGGTCTGGGGATGTGATGGTGATCTGGTGGTCTGGGGATGTGATGGTTATCTGGTGGTCTGGGGATGTGATGGTGTTGTGATGGTCTGGGGATGTGATGGTGATCTGGTGGTCTGGGGATGTGATGGTTTGTGGTGGTCTGGGGATGTGATGGTTTGTGGTGGTCTGGGGATGTGATGGTGATCTGGTGGTCTGGGGATATGATGGTGATCTGGTGGTCTGGGGATGTGATGGCGATCTGGTGGTCTGGGGATGTGATGGTGATCTGGTGGTCTGGGGATGTGATGGTGGTCTGGGGATGTGATGGTGATCTGGTGGTCTGGGGATGTGATGGTGGTCTGGGGATGTGATGGCGATCTGGTGGTCTGGGGATGTGATGATGGTCTGGGGATGTGATGGTGATCTGGTGGTCTGGGGATGTGATGGTGTGTGGTGGTCTGGGGATGTGATGGTGATCTGGTGGTCTTGGGATGTGATTGCGATCTGGTGGTCTTGGGATGTGATGGTGATCTGGTGGTCTGGGGATGTGATGGTGATCTGGTGGTCTGGGGATGTGATGGTGGTCTGGGGATGTGATGGTGATCTGGTGGTCTGGGGATGTGATGGTGGTCTGGGGATGTGATGGTGATCTGGTGGTCTGGGGATGTGATGGTGGTCTGGGGATGTGATGGTGATGTGGTGATCTGGGGATGTGATGGTTTGTGGTGGTCTGGAGATGTGATGGTGATATGGTTTTCTGGTGATGTGATGGCGATGTGGTGGTCTGGGGATGTGATGGCGATGTGGTGGACTGGGGATGTGATGGCGTCGTGATGGTCTGGGGATGTGATTGTGATATGGTTGTCTGGGGATGTGATGGTGATATGGTTGTCTGGGGATGTGATGGCGTCGTGATTGTCTGGTGATGGAACCGGTAGCTCCTGGTGTGTTCCACCTGTAGCTGAGACGAACAGTTCCGTGACATCCTGTGATGTCCCCCCTACATGGATAAAGAGACATCCACGATCAATACTCACTCTGCACATAACATTTAAATGTCAGTTTCCATGGCAACCTCCTGCAAGGGTCAAGGAGAGGGTGGCAGCAAAAATTACCCATAAGGCCGTGGCAGTAAGCAGTGACTGGCAGGACTATAGATTTCTTGTGTGTGGAACTTGCTTCTCAATGAAGGCATCAGAAGGAGGCTGGGTGCCATGTCTGGTGGCCCAGCTATTGCTACACATGCAGATCGCCTATCTAATTAATTTGGCCAACCACGGCACTGCAGGGAGCTCGTGGGGAGACATTTATCGAACCCTTGTTATTTACTGAGAGACGTATGGTCAATAAAATCTCCGCACAGTGAACATGATATATTATTGCCATTCATGTGCAGATGAGTCTGGCTTGCGAGTGAGCAATCACGGCACAGCCTCTGCTGGGCTGTAGACAGATAAATAACCCTGTATCGATCTCACCAACCTGAAATTATCAGCTTCCAGGCTAAATTTGTTTTGCCTTCCTCAGGGAATTTTTCATGTCTTTCAAAAATTTAGAAAGTATGTGTCTAAATTCTGGCACTGATTCTATTTTGAAAAAATATGTAAATAAATGTCCACGTCCTAATTATGAAATGACTGTAAGTATAACTGACATGGCCTCTGATTGGTTGAAGCAGAAGGCATCGATATCTTGTGTGAGCAGCATGTGGTGCCAGGCAAGACTGGAGATGGATTTGAGACATGATAATCTGATATTGATTATTAGCTGTTGCAGATTGATGTTATGGAAAATGTGATTCTAGGGTTTGCTTGAGAAGAGCATATACTGATATAGCAAGGGAGACCATCATACTGAGAGGAGACTAACACGTGCCACTGACTTGGTTGTTGTATCTTCTACACATCAGGGGCGGTTGGGTAGCCTATTGGTTAAAGCGTTCGCTCGTCCGCCGAAGACCCGGGTTCGATTCCCGACATGGGTACAATGTGTGAAGCCCATTTCTGGTGTCCCCCGCCTGATATTGCTGGAATATTGCTAAAAGCGGCGTAAAACCAAACTCACTCACTCACTCACTCTACACATCACACTGACACCCACACTGACACACACCCCACCACACACTGACACCCACCCCACCACACACTGACACCCATCCCACCACACACTGACACCCATCCCACCACACACTGACACCCATCCCACCACACACTGACACCCACACTGACACACACCCCACCACACACTGACACCCATACTGACACACACCCCACCACACACTGACACCCATCCCACCACACACTGACACCCACACTGACACACACCCCACCACACACTGACACCCACCCCACCACACATTGACACCCACCCCACCACACACTGACACCCATCCCACCACACACTGACACACACCCCACCACACACTGACACCCATCCCACCACACACTGACACCCATCCCACCACACACTGACACACACCCCACCACACACTGACACCCACACTGACACCCACCCCACCACACACTGACACCCACCCACCACACACTGACACCCACACTGACACCCACCCCACCACACACTGACACACACCCCCACCCACACTGACACCCACCCCACCACACACTGACACCCACCCCACCAGACACTGACACCCATCCCACCACACACTGACACCCACCCCACCACACACTGACACACACCCCACCACACACTGACACACACCCCACCACACACTGACACCCACCCCACCACACACTCACACACACCCCACCGCACACTCACACACACACCCACCCACACCGACACACGACCGCCTCCGTGGTCTTGTGGTAGAGCGTCCGCCCGGAGAGCGGAAGGTCCAGGGTTCGATCCCGGGCCGCGTCATACAAAAAGACGTTGAAAGATTGTACTTGTTGTTACCCTGTCTGGCGTTCGGCATTAAGGGGCTAAAACAAGGACTGGTCGGCTCGGAGTCAGTATACTGTGTCTGAGTGGGGTATTCATGTTAAACTGCGGCATGGTATCTCAGTGAGCTAGCACTATAAATCGGCATCAGTCCGGACTAGTACAAGCAGCCACACACACACATACACGTGCATGCACGTCGCTATATAAGTGCAATAATCTTGGACGCGACGTTAAACACAATTTCACCTCACCTCACACCGACACACACACCACCACACACTCACACACACCCAACCACACACTGACACCCACCCCACCACACACTGACACCCACCCCACCACACACTGACACCCACCCCACCACACGCTGACACCCATCCCACCACACACTGACACCCACCCCACCACACACTGACACACACCCCACCACACACTGACACACACCCCACCACACACTGACACCCACCCCACCACACACTGACACCTGCCCCACCGCACACTCACACACACACCCACCCACACTGACACACACCCCACCACACACTGACACACACCCACCCACACTGACACACACCCCACCACACACTGACACACATCCCACCACACACTGACACACACCCCACCACACTCTGACACCCATCCCACCACACACTGACACACACCCCACCACACACTGACACACACCCCACCACACACTGACACACACCCCACCACACAGACACCCATCCCACCACACACTGACACCCATCCCACCACACACTGACACACACCCCCACCCACACTGACACCCACCCCACCACACACTGACACACACCCCACCACACACTGACACCCATCCCATCACACACTGACATCCACCCACCCAACACTGATGCAAACCCCACCACACACTGACACACACCCCACCACACACTGACACACACCCCACCACACACTGACACCCATCCCACCACACGCTGACACCCATCCCACCACACACTTACACCCATCCCACCACACACTGACACACACCCCACCACACACTGACACACACCCCACCACACACTGACACCCATCCCACCACACACTGACACCCATCCCACCACACGCTGACACCCATCCCACCACACGCTGACACCCATCCCACCACACACTGACACCCACCCCACCACACACTGACACCCACCCCACCACACACTGACACCCATCCCACCACACACTGACACACACCCCCACCCACACTGACACACACCCACCCAACACTGACATCCACCCCACCACACACTGACACACACCCCACCACACACTGACACCCATCCCACCACACACTGACACCCATCCCACCACACACTGACACCCCCCCCACCATACACTGACACACACCCCACCACACACTGACACCCATCCCACCACACACTGACACCCACCCCACCACACACTGACACCCATCCCACCACACACTTACACCCATCCCACCACACACTGACACACACCCCCACCCACACTGACATCCACCCACCCAACACTGACGCAAACCCTACCCACACTGACACACACCCCCACCCACACTGACCCCCAACACACAACACTGACGCAAACCCCCACCCACCCAACACTGATACACACCCCAAACCCACACTGAAACACTCCCCACACCACACTGACATCCATCCCACACTGATACCCACCCTACCCTACCCCACCCCACACTGACACCAACTCCACCCCATACTGACACCAACTCTATCTAACACTGACACCCACCCCACACTGACACCTGTCCCACCCCACACTGACACCCTACCCACGCTGACACCCACCCCATCCCACACTGACACCCATCCAACCCCACACTGACACCAACCCCACCCAACACTGACAAGCACCCCACCCAACCCAACACTGACACCCATCCCCACACTGACGGGGCCAACCCCACACCCACCCCACCCCACCCCACCCCACCCCATGCTGACACCTGTCCCACCCTACATTGACATCCATCCAAAACGGACACCCACCCCACTGTCCCCACACTGACACCGGTCTCACCCCGTCCACACTCACCTGCAGCTAGCACACGTGATTGATATCTTATCTTATGTGCTGAATTCTCAGGGAAAACGGACTGCGCGAGTGTGTGTATGATTCACAACCTTCCCAGGTAATAACTTGTGAGTGAAGACAACTGTTCTTAGTGATTTACACATGTGGTGTTTACTTTGGGACACCTGCACTGAGGGGACATAGTGTCACCCATCCATGCAGGCTAGGCTGATCCCTATATGAAACAGACCCTGCATGTTGGGAAGTGCATTTGAGTGCATTCAAACAGTTATGTGTCATTTCATTTGAAATCCCTTTCTATGTGACACAAGAAGTTCTTGTGTAATGTGATTATCACATGTATTGACAACCGAGGTAGGACATGTGACCTTTCCCCAGCGTGGCCGCCAATGTTGCCAGTCTGTGCTGAGTGATCTCCAGGTTCTGGTGGTGACAGCCCCTGTTGTCCGACGTTGACAGGTAATGACAACACTGCTAGTTGTGTTACATCACACTGGTGTGTGGGCTGGGGGAGGTCGAGGCTCACACGGGGCTGACCAGAGGCTCCTCACGACGGGATGTGGAGGTAGGTACTCCATGCTGCTATACTCAGACTAACAGTTGTGTGCACTGCAGGTAGACTTAGACCAGCAGTACATCAAATACATGGGTACATATGCCCAATGTATAGATATTTGTGTTAATTCTTTAATATATGGCATGGTCTTCAAGGATATATATATTTGTGTAAATCTAGTAATACTGAGGTACTGTCTTCAAGGATATATATATTTGTGTAAATCTAGTAATACTGAGGTACTGTCTTCAAGGATATATATATTTGTGTAAATCTAGTAATACTGAGGTACGATGTTCAAGGATATATATTTGTTTAAATCACGTTATACTGAGGTACTGTCTTCAGGGATATATATTTGTGTAAATCTAGTAATACTGAGGTACTGTCTTCAGGGATATATATTTGTGTAAATCTAGTAATACTGAGGTACGATCTTCAAGGATAAATATTTATGTAAATCCAGTAATACTGAGGTACGGTCTTCAAGGATATATATTTGTGCACCTTCAGTAATTCTGAGGTACAGTGATCCCTCAGTACAACATTATCTTGGGGACCAAATAATTGATGAGCGTGATGAGCATTATAGACGATCAGCGGTTAAGTC